AGCTGTGCTCCATCCCTCGCCTCTGCTCACACACCACCAGGGGCTCAGGGCATGGAGGTGGCCCCCAGCACCCACGGGAGCAAATAACAAAAGCCCCCGGGGTGGAGAAGAGGATAGCTGGTCCTGCCGAGCCTCATCCTGGGCTTCACGTGGGCCATCTCCAGGAGCAGGATGACAAAGCCAGGCAACAGACAGAGCGTATTTTAATAGGGTTGGCTAGGATCAGGCTATACCGTGTTACAGGCTGCATGGGAACGCTCCCCGGTCCCTCGAGATGGGAGAGAATTAGGAAATATCTGCTATAAACCTTTCGAGAGCTCTCTAATATACAGCCACTCTGCTCTCCGCGAGCTGGAAGCCAGCCAGGCTTTATGCTCACACCAGGGGTCTGTTTCAGCAGCTCCTCTTGGTAAGCACTGGTCTTCTGGCTGCCAAGGGCTCACAAGCATCGCTGCTCACGAAGCTATCACGGTTACAGGCTCCACCGAAAACTTTCATTTCCTTTAGCTTTTTCTTTCTTTTTTTAAAGCAACTCTTGCAAGTCCTTGAAACGAACGGGAAATTAAATAAATAAATCCCCCAACACACACAGAGAGAGAGGAAAAGGGGAACACGGCCAACCTGATCAAGCTCTTAGTTTACAGAACATATTTTAAGGACTGGCAAGGAGTCAACCGTATGGCTGTGGAGCTATAAGGAGGTTAGCTCTAATGCACAATAAACTTGACAGTGCTTCGCTAGCCAAGTAGGGTGTTAGTTTTCCAAACTTGGCTGTTTTGAAAGAAAAGACAAATTTATCTTTCCAAATTTATCATCAACATGTGCTTGACCAGCTCCTACCCACTTCCTTTAAGAGCGTCCCGGCCACGGCCGGGCCCTGTGCAGTAACATACCAAACGTGTTACAAAGCTCTCCTGTCCCTGCGCAAACATCACTTCTGATACCCATTTCACCTGAAACCAAGCACTGGACTTTCCCTGTTTAAATTCAAGCTGCACAGAAGATTTCAGAGATCCTTGTAAATCTAAACCCAGCTTCTTGAATTCAGTGACAAGAAAGCAAGCCTGTAAATTGAGGTTGCCACCACTGAAGGTTTTCAGGCAGCGGTTCTCAAAGCCTTAAAAAAAAAAGAGAGGCATGGAAGAAAAGAGAGGCACAAACAGAAAGCACCCTTGTTGCAGTTTCCCAAACACATGTGGATAACCAAGCTTATAACCAAGTCAGAGAGGCCCTTCTGCAGCCCTGGAGATGAAAGCTTCAGCAGCTCCCAGCTCGTGCTCAGCGGCCCGTGGTGTTCCTGGCAGCAGACGCGGCTTCTGCAAGCTCCAACCCAGAGAGCGCCGATGCTGGAGCGCAGGAGCCAGCCAGCTGGCCCGGCCACACAGAACCGCGATGGCCACAGGACTGCAGCGGAGCGGGGAAGAAATGGGCAGCTCGACATGAAAGCAGGGCAGGGTGAGAGAGCTGGCAGCACTCATTGCACAGGCTGGAGGCCAAGACGTGCACGCAGCAGCGATGAGGAAACGCCGGGCGCTCTCACGAGCGGAACAGCGAATGTTGCGCTCGGCTTCGTAAGCGGTGAGACACGGGGAGGGCAAGGCCAGCAAAGCTGGAGTGTGTTGGCAAATCCAACAGAGGAAGTTTATTTTCCAGGTGTGTGAAGCGGTGTTGCATTACACCGTGCAACAGAAGGAAAGTGCCGACGCAGAGGTGGGTTAAGACAGAGCACGTGTGGGGGAACTTCGCAGCTCAGCGCCAGGCAGTTCTCTTTGCTCCGGGTGCAGAGCTCCAGCACTGGTAAAACATGATCTAAAAAAGAAGATCTACAAAAGAAAAAAAAAAAGAGCCCCAGTCCTCAGTACTTGGGGCAAAAGGGGTCTACTCAGCTGCCCAGCTGCTTGCAAGGGATGAGGGCAAGGCAACGGGAACAGGCAGAGAACAAGATGGGTTGTACAGGATGCACCAGCCTGGCACAGGGCAGCAGAGGCCAGAGGCACAAAGGAGCTCTGACAGAAGAGCTCGGAGGTGGGTGAGTGGGTGAGGAGCAGAAAGAAATATATTTCTGGCAGCAGAGATTTTATTGTCTACGTTGTCTCTCCCTTGCCAAAGTGACTACAGAATTTGTGAAATGTGCAAGCCCCAGATTCTTCAAACCCTTGTTAGGGAAGTGTGGTAGCCAACTTGTAGAAAGGAGCGAAAAGGATTGCAGGAATCTGGAGGTGAAAGGTGAGGAAGAACAAGAGAGTGGCTGTTCACTGAAGATCACTAAGTCAGCCTTCTCCAGCTTCAAAACTGTAATTCAGCTTTTTATTCCATTATATAAGATATACATTCTGTAAACTATATTAGCATAATAAATATATATCATATGCTATCATTTTTGTTCCTGAATTTTCATTCAGCCCCAAGCAAAACCTCTCTGGAGTAATGCAGGACAGGACAGTCAACACACAATGCTCAGCAGTCTGGATCCAGCAATGCTGGACATCATCAGGACTTTGGAAGTGGCTTTGTGAAGGTAAAAAACATGACGGGCTTTTAAGCAATCTTATTCCTGCAGGCCTTCTCACATCCCAGTATTGCAGCAGCTCTCCTTCCAGCACATTCCCAACCCACGCAGAGCAGAGGTTTCAAGCAAGGATGGAGGCTAGGACACAGCCCTGGTACTGCGCTCTCCAGCACACCCCTGCGCATTGAGGAGCACAGCAGAGCACACAGACTGGGCAGGGGGTGCCACTTTTTGGTGCATTGGAGTTTCCTCACTCTGAATGCAGCAAGGAGGAAAAGAAAGCAAAGCTGGGGCAGGTCTGAACTGCCCAAGCTGGATCAACGACTGCGCAGTGCCAGGGAACATTCCTCTCCATCATTAGCGAGCAGCAGCCACTTGCTTCAGTGGAGCGAGGGATCTGCATGCAGGGAGCTGATGCTGCACCCCACAGCACTGACCAAAGAGGCTGCCGCACCACACCAGCACGCACACTGCAGTCGGGGTGCTTTGTGCCTCCTTTTGTCCAGATCCCATGGGCTTAAACACAAGAATCTGTCCCATGTGCACATCACGCTGCTTTAACTCTAGAGCGACCTTAAGCTTACCGTGTGGGGTAAAAAAATATTTGAAAGAGAATTAATTCGAAGGTTAAAAGCCACTGAACCAAGCAAACATCTTGAAAGTAAATAAGCTTTAAATAAACAGGTTGAGTCCTACCCATTTTCCCACCCACCTGTGTTCCCATTGCTACACATCCCTCCCTGTGCATGTTGGCCACCTCGGTGTATGTAACATGTTCCACATCAGCTGAGGTGTCAGTCAGAGCGCTGCTGGCACGCAAGGACCACGGTGGCACAAGCTGACATGACACACAGAGCACAGCGGGGATGAGTTAAGAGCCCAAGAGAAATAGGGAGAGCTCTGGCCCTGCAGCGTTGGGTGTGCAGGGAGAGAAGGGCTCCCCTGTGGAGTTTGTGCAATGCAGGAGAAAAAACTCTGAGCTCAGAGCTGCAGCACCTCACACCAGCTGCAGTTTCACAGAGCACGTCCCGATGTGGAGGGGATGCAGGCAGCAGCAAGGGGTCTCGTCCCCTTCCCACCAGAGGGGACGGCAGGGACAGGGCACACGCAGTCACCACCTCTGAGGCTGTCCCTGCCCAAAACCATCACTGGAAGCAGCTGGGAGGAGGCACGCTGCTGGGGACAGCTGGCACTTGCGTTGCTGCTGGTTAGAGCACACTCCCGGAGAGTAAAGGGGGAAAATCGAGCAGCCTTCATGCAAACCTCCCTGCTCCCAAAGCCCCGAACTGGACGGGGTGATGCAGCCTGCTTATTGCAGCACTCCGCGCGTGATCAGCGCTTCCCAACTATCAACACTTCATTTCAATAAGACCAAGTTGTGCTGTTTGAATAATATTTATCTGGGCCAGAAGTGACTCTCTATTGTCTTGATGACATATTTATGCCTATGATCAGTGAGGGCGTTTTTCATGCTTCCCTTTTTACTTCTCTTATGCTTTATGCATCTACATAAAAGCACCACTTGCACCCAAATGTTTTGATGTGCACCTTGTATTTATTCCAATAGCAGACTGTTTCTTGGGGCGGGGGTATTTTCCCCATACCAGGACTAAAACCGGTCCCGTTTTCCAATTCCAAAATCTGTTTTCTTTCCAAACTGCTCCAGTGTTCCCTGGAAGGCTCATTACAGGTTGCCAAGACCCTTCATTAAAAACGGCAAATATGCCAAACGGAGATTTGCTTTTAATGAAACGTAACTAGTGAGGCCCGAAGTTTTTCAAACGTTCTTTAAAACTTGAATATTTTGTGAAAAGGTGCAAGTTTCCTCCACTCTTCCAGAAAGCAATTCCTGCACAAACCACAGTCACAACGTCGCCATTAACTGCTTTTTGTGAAAGCTTTCCGATCCTACCATAAAATAATGAACATTGGATACAGAATGAGAGCTCTCTAAAATAGGAAACATAATAAAGGTGAAAACTTTGGCCTGCTATGCTGAGCTTACACGTAACACTAAATGATTGTTTTCCAAGAAAAGGTTGTAAGAACAGAGTGACCCTTGGACTAATTTAACTAAGGTACAAAATCATGAAACTAGGAACCAGAGCATAGGATCTTCCTCACCTTCCTCCTTAAACATTTACCACGCAGCATGTAGAGGGATATGTCACTCTGGGACAGAGCCTACCTGCAAAGCTACAACCCAGATTTCAAACAACTTAAAAGCTTTCAAGTATTTGAGACATTTCAGCGTGGTGAGCACACAGCAGGGTTGTGAAAACACAACCAAGAAGCCATCATTATCCTTATCCATTTGCTTGAAGCATCAGTGTTTAAGTGGAGGAGGAGAGAACGCATGCTGAGATTTTAATATTTGTAAGATCTAGAAATAGGATGGTGCTCTCAGCAAGTCTGCAGAACCATCCAAGTGGTGTAGGGAGCAATAGAAGGGGATGCACAACAAGGAGATCCAAAGGATGCCCAGCCTTACCTTGTGCACACAGGACTTGGCGTTCAGGAAGAACAGCTCTACCGTCGTTTTGTCCTTGAGAAAGGAAATGCTTTCAATGTAGAACCTGACAAAAAAAAATAAAAAATAGAGCAAAGTTACTTTCTTGAATAGGTTTCATCTTCCTCCCAAATCATTTGATTTCCTCAGCTTTATGCTCTCCAGCAATAAAACGGTACAGAGGAACTACAAGCTACTGCACTTCATTTCCTGCCTATTAGGAGGGAACAAGCAGAAAATTGAGGGTCAACAGCATGAAGGGAACAAAAAACTCCTTTTGTTCAACACATCACAGGTAGCTGACAACTTCTAATCTCATTTGCAAACCCTGTTGAGGTTTAAAGCAGCAAACCCCATCCCTCCTATGCAGGCAAAACCACAGAAATGGAAAAGGTAACTTAAAACTGGGTGTTTCAGGTTGGGGAAATGGAAAAATGGAAAGCCAGCACCGCACAATGCAGTAGCTAATCCCACTGCAACCCACCAGCCTTTGACATTTGAGCAAAAACTTGCCACCAGAACAGATTTACGGTTATACAGTTCACATACAAACAAGCAACATGATGCAGAGGCACAACCAAATAAAGCAATTCCATTACGGGTTGCTCTGGCCCAGCCAAGGTTGGCAGATGTGTCCTGATTTGTTACACAGCTACGCCAAACATGATGCACACAGCTGGCACTCCGCAAGCCACACACAACTTGTCTGCACACCTCTGACTCACTCAGGGCATCAAACTAAGCAGCGCTGAGACACAGAGATGCAGAGAAAACACGTCTCTAATTTGAGGAGCATGGAACTGCCAAGTCAGTTTAAAGAGACAAATTTGTGGGAACATTGTCCTGTCAATCCTTCTTTAGCTTTTTTTAAATCCTTTCAGGATTTAAAAGCAGAAAGCCTGTGCTTCATTATCATTACAGATTGGATCCAGACTCTCCTGCATGATGCTAGAAGAAGGTACACTTCTGTTTGCAGCCAAAGGGCTGGGGCAACCACCACCACCCCAGCAGCACAGCCCCCAGCAGGGCTTCTCAGCTTCCAGCCTGTGATACGAGAGGCCAGGAGGGCTAACACAGACCACGCAGCCTGCCACACTCAGAGATGATCCCTTGCTTTACACCTGCGGTTTCTTTCAGCCAAGACCATCGGACATAGCTTACTGCTGCCCTCATAGGCAGGGCAGCAACTCCTGCTCTGAAAAGGAGCAGCACCCAGTCAGAGCTGTTAGAGCAGGAGATGGTGGAAGCCCCCAACTTAGGGGAAGCAGTCCTGGGCAGATCTGGGTGCTTCACTTCTTCCGTGGCACAAGCTGAATGCTCTTATCAGTGCAGTGCAGATAGAGAACACCAGAGCAAAGAGATAAGGATGTTCGTGGGACAACAGGCATGTTTCAAAACAAAATATAGCGTTCTCCTTTTATTTCTGATGCTGTCAGCATCCTTTAAACTAGAATTATGTTTTTATAAGTCCTAAACTTGTATCGTACAGCCCTTCAGCAGCTGAGTGTACCATATGAAAAATTTACATGACTGGATTGAGTTTATGCAAGCATAAAAAATAAGTATCCCCTCTCCAGTCCAAGCCCACTCACTCAGACCAAGGGCTGCCCTGCAGCTGCATCCAGCGGGGTCACCTTGTGCACGGCCAGAGGTGTGCTGGTGCTCGCTGCCCATCACCTGCACACCGCCTGTCCCTCCCATCCCTGCTGTGCTTCTCCATCCTAGCCTCTAATTGTACATTTCAGCTGCTCTCATGGGAGTTTGACTAAATAGACTCTGACAAGGCACATGTGCTCACACGAGATAAGCGTCTGAGCCAACCACCCAAGGCCTGTGACACTGAGCAAAGGCTTGGAGTCACTTATGCAAAGAGTGGTGACAAAATGCAGTGCTGCACATTTTGAATCTGCTGGAATATCTATTTTTTAACCATAAGATTGTTTTTACATTGCTAATTCTTCCTGTATCTTCCTCCTGCTCTGCACAGGCTTCCTGCTCACTGCCCTCTTCCTTGGCTCCCAATTGCCTCTTTTGGATCTCATGACCCTGGAGCAGTTAAGCTTAAAATTAGCTTTTAGAAGTTGATCGTCCCAGGCCCATTCTTCATGCATTAACTCTTGCCCAGGTCTCTACACACCCCATCCTGCAGAGGAACATCTTGCAGTGGAGAGGGCAAAATTGGACATCACAAGGCAACGACATCAGCTCCAACCACAGAACTGCCAGGAGGTGACAGCTGAGGTGTGAGGTCATGGTAGCCCCCAGTGGGTAGAAGGCACAGAAAGGACCATGTCCAGCCATATATTTTAGTTTTGTAGGTCCTCAAACAGTGAATACTTTGAGGAGACCATCAACCCTTTTAAAATGTTTTTTTTTCTCTCCCTTTCCTGAAAAAAGTGGAGAAGGGGGGAGGAAGAGAAGCACTTAACTCCATCACAAATAAGCACATATTCAGCAAAAACAGAGTGCCACTTGGTGGAACCCTTCTCTCCGTGTCTAGAGTGCAGAGGACATGGCAGGGCAACTGGTGCCAACTGACCAAACTGCACAACAGGCTCTGCTTTGAAAGTGCTTTGGGTAATTAAGCACACAAGGCATAAATCTTGATATGGAAAGTGAATGAGGTCAGTCTGCTCTCATTTTCCTCACAAACTAAGGAAAACAAAAATATAAACTCTAACAACACTAAGAATATGACTCTTGGTCTTTTCTGCCAGCACAGCTCTGTCTGTTACAGGCCTGAAAAAAACACATCCTAACCAGCAGAGCTTTGCCAGCAAAAGCCCTAAAGTAACGCAATTACTTTGGCCAAAATCATCCCTTTGCCAGGGATTTTATTTTCTCCTGGGGACTGGTTGAAGCTGTGTGAGCAAAGAAGCCATCAGCAATCCCTTTCAAGTGCTGACAAACCTTAAGTAAACATAAGAACATGAAAAAGTGTGATTGTTTAAACAAACTGCATCAAAATATAGCACTATTAAAGACAAGTCAGACAAAAAAAAAGATTTTAAAGGGGGTGATTTAAACAAACAAAAAGGAAGGAACAATGTGCTAGTACCAGTTTAAAAAGTAGCAGGTTCCAAACTACCTGATTTCATAGCTAAATACAAAAGAACGCAGCACTTACCTAGGACTTAGTCACCCTTTAAAAATATCGTATCGGTTTGACATTTATTTCCTATATCACTAATCCATTCCTTTAAACAAAAACAGCTGGAGATAAATGAACCAAGTGGGTACTGTTTTCTCTCTGGAAACAATTACTCACCTAACAGCAAAATACAAAGTTGCTGGACCTGGTTTCTTGGGCAAGTCATGATCCAGGACTCTGTGGTCCAGCTGCAGCCAGACGCTCTGACCTCTGCAGAAACAGATTGAGGGGATGGTTACAAGTAGGAAGGGAAACATAGAAATGTGGTCTTTCCAGTGCACATGTTTACTCCAAGCATTACTTCAAAAACAAAATTGCAAAATTTAGCTCTGAAGCAGGCAAACAGTTCAAATTCTTTCCTCTTTCCCTAACTTCAGATGTTGACATAATTCACTTTTGAACATTAGAAAACACTCTTTACAGTTGTATTTTCAGTTGTAGCACAAAAGCCATAATAAAGAAAAAGAAGTGGACCCTTCTTTGCTATAAATGGGGCGACTTCCATTGATTCCTCGTGCACAGCAGGGGGATCTGATCTGTAGCAAAGGGTGGCAGTTTGCATGCCTCTAAAATTGGCCTCTTCAAATTGAAAAACAAAAAAAATAAATTGGAAACAAAATAAAAATAAATAAAAAGATAAATAAAAATAATAAATTAAATCCCCCAAGCCCCAGTAACCTCCCTCATGACCCTGAAGCCTCAGAGCAGCCCAAGAGCCTGCTGCTGCCCCCAAATGTTGGGTCTGCCCAGCCACAGAGCATGGGTGCCCTCCAGAGGCCACACGCTCATTCCAAGCCCTGCACACCCAAGGGAGCCTCTGGAGTCCCACAGGTGGTTTTGGGGAATCCAACAGCTCTTAGCTAATCCCCTGGCAGCACTTTAAGGGAGCTCGCCACGAGGGAGCGCCAGCAAGCAGAGACCTCCAGCAGAACTTTGAGGCAGCTCTTGAAAAAGCCGTGTGTGAACAGCAGTCTGAAGGGATTTATAGAAGAGCTGGAAGGTGTCTTGAAGAGATGAAAAGACAAGGATGTGGCAAAAATACTCAAGATGAGAGCAACTTAATAATACACTGCCACGGTAAGGGGTCCAGAGACGAGTGGCTACTACCACCCCCGTAAGCCCCAGCAGCCAGTGCTGCCTCCTCAGGGTGACCCCAAACTCAGCTCTATGTGGTCTGTAGGTAGAAGCTCCCATCAAAAACACCATAGAAGTGGCAGCAAAGACTAGTATTATTCTCCTTGGACAAGATAAGGTTTATTTTGGGGCAATATTTACGCACAACTCTGTTTCTCCCTCTACCTTCAGCTGTTTTGCACTTTCAGGGAGCTGTCAGGTAACACTGCTGAAGACATCAGCCCCTGGGGAGCTGCTGACACCCTGCTGGGCTGCACCCCGCACACCTGGGAAAGCATTTCGGGGCAATTCTGAGAGATCCATCTAAACAACAGCTGAGATTTCCATCAACCCAGCTGCCTCCATCCAGCAGCAGAAGCAGGTTTCTGGTGCAGCACCTTGCCCACCCCAGGCAGCCACCACAGAAGCTGTCAGGGGGTGCAGCACAGCTCAGGAAGGGAGAGTTGGGCATTTACAACATCTGCTGCTTTTGTAGTTCTTTTTGGCAGGCTGTAGCATAGGTTGGATATCTAAAAGCAATAGGCAAGCAAAAGGAAAAATTATTTACAGGAAGCCTACCTTCATATTTCACAGTTCAGGACATTTGGGTTTAAACAACTCGTTGATAATGCATTGAGACTAATGTGGAAAGCAATACAAGCTATTTGTTTTGAAAATAAATCCAAATCCTTTTTGTTATTATTAAAAGTGCAGAGTGGGGAAGTTGGGGGCGTTCACCTGGGAAATTATTTCTGAATCACCTTTTTCATCTTGTAAGATGAGCGTGAAAAGTGAAAGTGTCAGGCAGGGATTTTACAAGTGTTTTCCATTTTATTGCCAACGCGCCTGACTGAATTTAAGAAGAGATTGGACTGTGCACTTAGGTCACATTGTCTGAACTTGGGTAGACCTGTGCGGTTTTGTCAAGAGTTGGACTTGATGATCCATTAAGGGTCCTTCCAATGATCCTTAAGGGTCCCTCCTGTTTGGTACCTTCCTCTTTCATCATCCAAACAGCACAAGCAAAAGGGAGGAAAATCTTTCTTCAAAAGTCATTTTCCATCACACTGAGCTGCCACAGTGTCTGGGATAGGTTTCACTTTGCAATAAACCACAGCTCTTTAAAATGAATTAGCATACTTACGTATCATCTATAAAAGTTATCCCAAAATATTCCTTTTCTTTCAGGTTGAAGTGCGAGGCCACTAGATCCAGTAACTCGCGAGACAAAAGCTTGGGCTGTTGAAAGATTCAAGACCATTTTATTCATTTCAGTTCAGACCTATCATTTAAATAATCTTCTCTGCAAACACTGACACAACTGCAGACGGCATGTTGAAAGCATGCCCATTAATTTCACTTCTCTTATTTGCTAGATCTAGTAAGAGATGCAACGTCTTTCTTCAAACAGCATTCACAGCTCAGCCCTGACTGGCACTCCTTAAAAAAAAAAGGCATGGAAGTCTGGCAAAAAAACTACTGCAAATACTAACAAACTCTATACAAACACTAGTGCAAAAAACTATTACTTTTAATCAATTACAGGACAAATTAGGAGCACACAGATGAAGGTGACAAAGCATTTATAGAGGTCTGGGTGACTTGGGAGCTTAAATCTCCACTTTAACAACCAAACTGGTGGGACTTCAGAGCCCCAACACAACTTTTTCATGCGGAACTTCTGTACAGCTTTAAGATTTCACTGATGGTCACCGTTTTGGTGACACCCCCAGCTCCCTGCAGTGGCAGGGTTACATGGGCACTATCAGAGCAGAATAAAAATCAGTTTGCCCCGGGCCTGGCCACACCACCAGTGCCCAAAAGCAGAGGGATCTTTACCTGAACCAGCAGCTCCAAGTTCCTGTCATCGAGGAGATGCACCTGGCAGTGCCGGCCCTCTGTCATCTGCAAAGACAGCAACACAGCACCGTCAGAACAGGAGGATTTGTGACCTCGCTGCTTTGTGTAGGTCCACGTGAGGCTAGGACAGCACACAACAAGCCTGTAACCAGCACTGATCAGGAAACCAACGCTGTGCTGGAGCTCAGCGACCTTCTGTGAGGACTTGCTGCTCCAGTGACAAGTGGAGATGACCAAGGACCAAAGGAACCTCCATCCATCCAACCCTGCAGATGGGTCAGCCTCAATTTGGTCTGCTGACCAGGACCTGGGCTCCAAATTGGAAGGAATCTCCAAGAGCACATTATTGCTCTCCCATAAATAACTTCTCATGAGAAGTAGAAGCTGCTGCTTCCCCAGGATGCTTCCACACGTGCATGTACAGGTCAAGAGAGATGCTTGAACTGCATTAAGCACAGGATGAGGCGTGCAGCCTCTGCTGTTATGCCTGGACTGCTTTGGTTCCCACTTTGTGTCACATTTATCCCTTGCAATCAACATCTCTCTCTTCTTCACAGGAGAAGAATTCAGAAATAGCTGCACATTATTCTGCCCTTTTAATATCTGCCCTTTGAAATATAATACATTTCCACAAAGGCTTTTACATTATTCAAACTCTGTTCTAATTACGGGCTCCGGCCAGCGCAGGCAGAGGACCAGCTGCACAGCTCCGGGGGTGAGAGCTGCTAAAGGAAACCTGGCTTTTGTATTTCTTCTCACAGCCTTAGTGACTCGTGTTCCTGACAGCACCAGCTCCTCACAGACTGTAAATCCTGAGCTCTGAGCAGAGGCTGAGGATTGCTCAGACGGGGGCTCCCCACGGGATTAGGCAGCAAGACGCAGCGGTTCCTGCCCTGTGATGGTGACAAGGATAGTGCTCTGCTGCAGGAGCCAGCCCCGGACAAAACTTGTAAAGACTTAAACAAAAAAAAATTATGAAAATAAAGCCTTCCCTCACCCAATTCCAGTACAACTGAAAAGGAGATTTCCCCTCTCCCCAGCACTGGCCCATTTCAGTGCGCTGCTGCATGCAGCAAGGGCTGCAGCACACTGCCTCTGCTGTAACCAGCCAGCCCCTCTCAGCCGTAAGAGGCTGAATTAACAAAGGTTTATTGTTTGAACTAATTGAGCTCATTTTGAGCAAAACCCATGAGGGAGCCTCTTCCCAAGCAGCATTACAAAAAGATCGGAGATGAATATCTGCAGGCACAGCTCTGTCTTGTGTGGGAAGATGCAGCAAGCTTACTGGTGTCAGTGCCACAGGTGCTCCTTACTAAAAAATTACTAAAAAATAGGGATAGACATATCCCTATAGACATATCCCCCAATAGACATTACTAAAAAATAGGGATATTTATAGATAGCATTGCATTGCTCATGAAAACAGCAGTACTCAAAGGACCATTAACAGAGCAAGTCTAAATGGAGAAAATACTTCTCTTTGACTTTCTTGTTCTGCTGTCAGTGTGAATTCACACAGAAGGGCCAGATGAAGGGTGACCTCAGGCAGCGTGTGCATGCAGGGGTGCAGACCTGAGGCTGCACCACCACGGAGACACCAGCGACAGTCCCATATGAACCACGGCTGCACCTCTGCAAGGAAACACTCCCAGCTTCCTCCTCCGGGGTTTGGAAACAAAACTGCAGCGTCCCCATGCTGGCTCCCAGTGAGCTCCACACGACTTATCCGCCTGCTGCACACACTGTCTGATGTCTTTCAATCCATTACGATTCCATCACGGGTCCATTTGTTACCAAGAGCTGCAGGTTTGCCACTGCACGTGCATAAAGGAGCCGCACGCTGCCGTCAGTTAATCATCTCATCAGCGCACCCTTCAAGGTGCTGCACGTTTCTGGCTCTGACATACTGTTACCAATCTGCCCCTGTTGTGAAGTGTCAGATCCAATAGTGTTTTTAAATCATTCCCCATCTGTTGCTCTGAGATAGCAAAAGGGTTGCCATTATTTAACTGCGAGCTGCTTTAGCTTTTTACCCAGTGAAATCACATTAATCACTTCTGACTGTTTTAATTGCCTCACTTGTCTATTGTTAAGGAAAAAAAGGTTTCTATTATAGCAAACACATACACAAAGCCTTGTGCTGAGGAGAGAGGAAGGTTGCCTGCAAGATTAAAACATAAAAGAAATACCAGCCACAACCTGTGCTCCTCCTATTCAGCCACCCAAGGTGATCACAATGTACCTTAAAAGTAATTAAACCTCACAACGCCCCTGATGATAGGCAAGATATAATTATCCCTGGTTTTATCGATGAGTAAATGTAAGGACACAGCTTAAGAGTCTGATTTTCAGAAGGGCTGAATATTCACAACTCTGCTTGGAGAAAACCACCACCTAAATCAGTTTTCCAGTGGGCCAGCAAGCTGAACCAAACCACATTGCTGCTAGGTCCAAGGCAAAGGAGAGGAGAGAGCAGGGAGCTCAAGAGAAAGCGAAGCCCCTCTTAGCAGTGGCCCACATCGTATACATAATGCAAAAATTACACGCTTACCATGGGACTGGTTTTAAAACAAAATAGTATGTAGTATTCAAAGTCATCGTGGTAGTCTGCATGTAAAAACAAGCCCTAATTTTCTTCCAGCAGCCAATTAAAAAAACATGAAAAACCTCCAACTAATCCAACTCCTGAAATCTCCTCCTGAATCGGTGACTAATGTTTAATACCTGGGACTCCGGGAATCTCATCTTAAAACAACGCACACACAGCTGCTTCCCAGAATACTGGAAAGCTAAATCACAGAATCAAGGAACATCCTGAGTTGGAAGGGACACGCACAGACCATCGAGCACAGCTCCTGGCTCTGCACAGGACCACCCAAAAAACAGACCCCATGGCTGGGAGCCGTGCCCTAACGCCTCTTGAACTCAGGGCTCGGGGCTGTGACCACGTCCCTGGGCAGCCTGTCCCAGTGCCCGACCACCTCTGGGTGCAGACCCTGTCCCTAACCCCCAGCCTGCCCCTCCCCTGTCCCAGCTCCATGCCTGTCCCCTCGGGTCCTGGCGCTGTCCCCAGAGAGCAGAGCTCAGCGCCTGCCCCTCCGCTCCCTGTGAGGGAGCTGCAGGCCGCCATGAGGCCTCCCCTCGGCCTGCTCTGCTCAGGGCTGAACAAACCCAGGGATCTCAGCACTCCCACACACCTTGCCCTCCAGACCCCTCACCATCTTCATAGCCTTCCTTTGGATGCTCTCAAATAGTTTTATTCTTCTATATGGGCACACCTGACGGCTGGGTGCCTGCTAAGGTGTCTTCTCCACCAGGGCGATGAGGCAGAGCCTCAGGGCGCCACAATGTGGGCACTCCCCACGTCGCACCAGAGCCCCGTCAAGGAGCACAGATCTGCTGGGGTGACCACCAGCTTTGCTTGCAGGCTTCAAATCTTCAGCAGGGTTAACTAGGGAAGACCAAACACCAACCCTCAGGCACCTCTTGCAGACCCAAGGCTTTAGCAACCAGCGCCGTGGTTCCTGCAGATGTGCAAGAGCTTGCTCCAAAAATCCCCACCCCATTCCCGATGGGGCAAAGTGCACTTCTCCTGCTTACTCTGTATTTACAGACACAACTGGAAGCAAATCACTCCCAGCCACCATCAGGGAGCAACACAAACCCATCCTGCATCAGGAACCTCACCCACATGAGCGGTCATTTCCAAGCAGCAGCTCCCTCCTCGCATTTTCCAAACTTTGTTCGTACGGGGGGCAGAACAGAAAGCTTCAGGGGCTATCAGAGCTGAGAGACCAGCTCAGAAGCACAGCACAAATCAGGTATCAGTGGTCTTCTCCTCTCCCGGTGCCTGAAGAAAAGCTGGGGAGCTTCATAAGAAGCATCACACCACCGCAGTATCACAGGATATAAAAAATTTTGGCTCTGGAAGAGTGCCTTCAGCTCAGCAACCAGACACCCTGAGCTCCTGGAGCTGAAGGACTTGTTTTTAACTTCACCAGTGACACGGGTGTGATTATTTCTCTGCAGCACATCCATCTGCCTGGCCAGCTTCCTTGGGCTCCGGAGGAGGCTGGACCTGGTCCTCAGCTCTCCGGGTGCAGGGCTCCTCCTTGCCCGAGCCCCAGTGCCCTGGAAGCCCCTCACAGACACGTTTTCATCTTTAATTCAGAACGCCTCGCTAATCTGAACAATATAATTGATTTTCTATTTAGCTGGACCAATCAATCATGAGCTGAGCACAGCTGTCTGGCTCAGTTAAGGGGCAGCACAAGCACCCTTGAGATATATATAGGCTCACATCTGTGTTTTCAGCTTATTCTCATTGATTTTGCATTGTCTGTGCAAATGAACAATTTGGTTATATTTTTGCAACACGCACCCAAGTCAGTCTTTTCAGAAGTTATTTTTAAAAGGCTGCTAATATTTAAGCTATTATTTAGCACAGAAAGCAGCAGCATAACATTTCATTAAGCATCCCCGTATCATCTCATCCTCAATAGGAAATTAGCAGAGCGATGCAACGCAAACATTGTTTTTGCCAATGTAATGGCAAAGCCATCCTGAGATACAGGGCTGCTGGATTCTTATTGTTTCCCAAAATCACCCAAGCAAGCAATATAAAACTCAAAAAAAAAGGAAAGGAAAAGGAAAGAGAATAAAAACCCCGTCTGATGCAGTATTACTGCAATTCTGCAGCCCCCCCTAACATGGAGGCAGATAGTAGCACTGGGCTTCCACCAAAAAGCTGATTTATTTAAGTGAATATAATGAAGGAGAAACAAGTCTCAGGATCTATGGGGTTATTCCAGGTCTAAGGGTCTCAGGAACAATGGGTTAAAATATCCAGAAAGATTTAGTCTAGCCAGGAGTTCTTACAAAGTGAGAGGAAGAAGTTTTGTTCTGCATTTTTAGGTTTATATTACGTTAATACTGTTCACTTAACAGCAGTCAGTCAAAGAAGAAAAACACATTTTTTCCTCCACCTCACTTGTGACAAAAACTAAGATAAATTCTCCATGTAAAGTAATGGAAGCAAGATTTTC